CCCCAAAACCCCAAAACCCCTTTAAGTTTTAATGAAATGAGTTATTAAGGTTGTAAATTAAAGCAAGCGAATTATTATCAATAATATAAAAAAAGTATAAAAGTTTAAATTGTAATAAATATCTCAGATAGATTGATAATGAGAAGAGGACTTAACATAAACTAATTTTAAGACTGGTAATGCGGATAGGACTATGAGCTCGTAAAACTCCTAGGTACAGGATCCTATGGATAAGTTGCTAGTGCTGTTCATAAGCCCACTGGCAAAAAGGTTGCCATAAAAAAGATGGATAATATATTCGATGATGAAGTTGATTGCAAAAGAATTTTAAGGGAAATCACTTTACTTAGAAGACTTAGACATCCTTATGTGGTTGAACTTTTCGATATCATAGAGCCAGCTGATGTTGATAAATTTGATACTCTCTATGTTGTACTTGAACTAGCAGAGAGTGATTTGAAGAAAGTTATAAAATCTGCAATCCACTTGTAGCTTAAGCATATTTAGCTCGTGGTTTATAATTTATTCTGCGCAGTAAGATATTTGCATTCTGCCAATGTCTTGCATAGAGATCTCAAGCCCGCTAATATTCTTGTTAACGAGGACTGCAGTGTTAAAATTTGCGATTTCGGATTGGCAAGAAGTATTGCTGGAGTTGAATAAGCTAGTTTGATCATTGGTAGCAGTAAGAGATTCGGCAAAAATGAAGAAAACTCAATGAGAACTGATGAGAACCACGAAGAAGTAACACTAAAAGGAACAGAACCAGCAAGGCTCCATCACCAAGATTAGACTGTAGAAGAGCTTAAAAAAGAGGAGGAGGAAAAAGGAGCGGATACTACACCAACAAGTCAAATGACAGAGGCCTAAAAGAGATAAGAAATGACTAAAAGATTACTAAAGACAAAAGATCAAAGAAAAAATATCAAGAGAGAACTTACAGGGCATGTAGTAACCAGATGGTATAGAGCACCAGAACTCATTCTACTCGAAAAAGAGTATGGTCCAGCTATTGATGTCTGGTCCGTAGGTTGCATATTCGCTGAGTTACTCGGCATGATGAAGGAGAGTGCACCAACATATCTCGATAGAAGACCTTTATTCCCAGGTAAATCTTGCTTCCCACTGAGTCCAGACCACGACAGCAAATCCGTAGATAATCGTCATGGATTCCCCATATCAACAAACGATTAATTAGCTGTTATTTTCTTGGTTATTGGAACTCCAAATGAGGAAGATAAGTCTTTTGTCACAGATCAAAAAGCTCTCGACTACCTAAATGCCTTCCCTAACAGAGAAAAAGTTGACTTATGCACCATTTATCCAGGTGCTGGGGAGGAGGCCATTGACCTCTTGCACAAGATTCTAGTATTTAACCCTTATTTCAGAATATCCCTTGACGATTGTCTTGAGCATCCATTCTTCAAGAGCATGAGAAAGCCAGATAAAGAATAAAAGGCTACCGAGGGAGTTCATTTCGACTGGGAAAAGGAGACAATGGATATTCCTAAATTAAGACAGCACTTTTTGGAGGAGATTATGTATTTTAAAAAATTAAGAGAAAAGGGAGCATAATGAACAATCATAACTTTCTTTATTTATAGATTTAACCTAACGCCCATTTTATCTCTATATTTCATAACGGGGTTTTGGGGTTTTGGGGTTTTGGGGAGATCGGAA